AGTTGCTCAAAGTCAGGCTCTCCGAAGGCTCTTCAAAGTACCATGGTACATCCACACGAATGACATACTAAGTGACCTTAGCAGAGCTTTGACAGAGCTTTGATGCTATATGCGAAAACCGACTGGCTGCCCTACTTGGCACTATCTAATCTCAGAGCAATCACTTACCGCATGAGGCAGTAAGCAGATCTTAGATCAATCTTAGATTAAATTAATCAGTGAGATGGGCGGGACTGTGCAGAATCCCCCCAGCTGGCATAGAGTAAAAGTGCCCTGATGCACTAACTCGGAAAAGGCTTAACATAATATAACATTAACTAAATTATATTTTTAATTACAAAAAGTTTATATAAGTTATAAATAAATCTATATATATATATAAAGTAAATATAGAGTATATAGGTGGAAACTTCAGTTGGGGACTAGGTACAGTGATCATAGAGATCATAAAGATCCACTTACGCCTGGTGATCCCTACATCAAATCATCAATCCAGTATTAGCTTATAAAACTCAGGGAGTTAAATCGTAGAATGTACACCTCATAAGGACAACTTGATTTCAATAAGAGACAATCTTTAATGAAAACTAACTTAATACCATTAAATTTGGAATGAGAGTAGGGACATTAGACTGTCCCGTCGATGACGGAGAAATGACTTTTAATTTATTGCAAAAAAAAGCGTAAGAGCAAAACAAAAATAATTGAAAAAGATACATTATTTTCTGGAACGATTTAGATAAATAGAAGAAAAAAGTTTGTTCATCATGTTTTCTCTATCGTTAGAAATATTCTACTTATCTGCTTTACTCACTCTGAACGTCCCTTCCATTTAAATGCAGGGCTGTTCATTTATTTATTCTAAATATTATTTTTACAAAAATAAAGTACACTTGTGATTGAGTTTTAGATCTAGTTTCTATTGCAATGAATTTTTTGGATCTGAATGAAGAATGCTACATCATTAAAATATTCTTACCCGAATACATTACAATATTGGATCTTTATAGGATTATTTTTTGATTTATTAATGGATGTTGGAGTCAGCGCGTTGACCCAAGTGTCCACTTAAAAACCAGAACACATAATGTTTTATAACTAACATCACATGTCCATACACAAACATATCCAAATGATGTGTTCAAAGGCACAGAAGTGGTTTTCGAAATTTTATGTGAAAGAATCTGTCCTTATATGCTCATTAGTTTGCTATTGTATATTTGTTCCCTCATTATTATTGTACTCATATTTAATACTTGTTTTATATCTCAAACTTAGCATATACCCCCTACAAGATTCAGATTTCAGTCGTAGGGTTCGTTCTAAGTCTAGTTCTCAGGCTATGTCTAGCTTCATTGTTTCTTCGATATTCAAAGAGTATGCAATATACATTTTTAGCAATATCGTTCTTACAATATACGCAGTAAGGATCGTGACCATGTCTTTGCGTCCACTATTTTAAATCTGGTGTGATAGTTTCTGTTCTGCTAGTCAATATGATTGCAATCAATACGTTTGCTATATTATCAATTCTATGTTAACGCGATTTTCGGTCGTTTATAGCCAGAGACTCCTTGGCTTGTAGGACTATGGGTATTATTCCGGATACCACCAAGGCGATTTTTTTTATTACTGTTCAAAAACCTCAACGTACTCTTAGTATAGTCAATATAGTCTGATTATTAGTTAATTCACATTGAATACATAAAATTACACAATCTAAACAATTTCCTTTCTTTATATATGCAGTAATAGAAAAAAGAGCTTCATCACTAAGAAAACACTGAAAACTACTATCTATCTCTCCTAAATAGGGTACTGAGTTTACTTTTGAAAGTATATTAGCTTGTGGTACCATCTCAATCAGAGTAGTCTTGTCAGATTTGAAAGTATATTATCTGAGTTTATAATGCAATGATAGTTCTGTAATATTCGTTGCAATAATCCAATTTTGATTTGGGTGAGGAGATGGATACTAAAATCAAAACTTCTGCGCCCTGCCCATTCTAAAAAAAAGCGGAAATAAAATTCCATAACATATGTTTATGAAAAAAAAGAAAATAGTTCAATACTTAAGAATCAGAAAACACATTAGCCAATGCAAGTTTTATATAACAATTGGATTTAGAGCATATATATTATCACCACAAAACTAAAATATGATTCTTTCTAACGATTCTCTACTATGAAATGAAAGACGATAAGTAGACTACTTGAAATTCAGTAATGTATAAAAATAAACCCCAAAAAAGGTACAACCCTAATGTCTTTACAGAAAAAGCTATTTCAAACTATTTTCTACACATACCTTTTATTGATAGACTCAGTGATAAAACTACAGGAAATAAATTTATATGGGTCTTTAGTTAAGTAATTAGAAATACATACTATCAGCATACTATAAAAACTGCTATAGTTTTTCAAAGTATATAATTATAAAAATTATACAATTTAAAAGTGAAAATAATTATCTTAATTGAATTAATAATAAATTACAAATGTTTTCATAGTCGTTACAGATTGAAGATTTAATTGAAGATATTTAAACTTTTTGCTCTGAAAAATAGGACAGACAAATAATAACATTATTATTAAAAGGTATTCTGAAATATTTGAGACTCACAAATGCCTGAGACAGTCTTTGACAATATAATTAAAAAGAATAATGAATTCTCCTCAGCTATAAAGATATAGAATGAGAATAGAAAAATTCTACTTATATTTACCTTCTAAAACACGGAGTTTCAATAATAAAGTTCTGGAGCACACATTATCGTAGGAAGAAGAAGTCAAGAAAAGATATGGAAAGTTTATACTTTCAAATATGGTGGATTTTTATCGACTCAACGTTTATCTCCTTCACCATCATATTATATACCTACGTGGGGTAAGCAAAAGAAGTTTCAAAAATTATTCTAATAATTCAATTTTCAATGATTCAAATGTTTTTTTACTCTATTTTACGTGTTCATTTATAGTCTCACAAGACTGTCTAGCAAATGTTGTCCCTTATACCACCTTCAAGAATACTTCCTACTAATGGACAGATCCCCTTTATGTATTCAATTTTGTAGACACAAAAAACCTCCAAAAGATATATGAAGTCAATACTTTCAAATACGCTGGAGTTTTTCCGACTCAACGTATTACTCTATTACGACCTTATTTTATTCGTATAGCGCATTTGATGTACCATTTCAAACCATCTGAACTGATCAGTTTAAATAGATTGATCTTGCGTATTTCATTAAGAAATAAAGAACTTATATACAGATAAATAGTTGGATATCTATAAAGAAGTCGTTCTATCACTTATATCGTATTTAGTATACTAGTTGAAACAATCTGGATATATATAAAGAAGTTATATACGATTGAAATATATTCCTTGCCAATGAGCAGGTATTGTTATACAAAAAAAGATTCAATTACAATAAAATCGATAGTATGGATCGGATGTGTGCCTATATTTATGCAGGAAGCAACTTAAAGTAACCATTTTTTAGAAATCTGAAGTTCTAGTAAAAGTTTAGTCTATTTTAATATTTGTAATTATTTTATTGATCGCCCTTTTTAGTGAAAACATGTTTTCTCTATCGTCATTGTATTTCGTCATTGTTTTAAGGCGTTTGCTGGTGCTAATATGAACTCTAATGTACTTTGCTTCTTTTTCTGTTCTATCAGTAAGATTTTTACCGTCTATAACAGTAACTACAGTGTTCAAAACAGTATATGTACTGCCTTTCCAGTGCTTCAGTCTTGTCTTGTCTTCCTAGTTCCTTCATGTTTGTCTTGTTAGTAGCAGCTTTAGGCCATACGTGCACCAAATACAATCAGAATCAGCATACTATATATACATAGGCGTATTTATAGTACTCTGATTGTGATGATATAAAAATCAGAATGCTATATATCTGCTTGCATAAATATAGTACTCTGATTCTTATAGTATTCAGGAAATTACATATCTACTTGTTTAATATAGTAGTTTGATTCTAACTGATATTCTACTCTGATTTCTTCTGATAACGCTTTAACTATAAACTCTTCTTCTGTTATGTCTTGAATTTATATACATTTATATATCCATGTTTATCAATATAATTAAGACCGTTATGCCTTTCCGCTGTGCATTGGGCGGACGTTACATTATTCTAATATGTATTTGTATATACATATATATATATGTATATATATATATTTACGTATATGTGTACTTATTTTTATTAATATAATTAAGATTAAAAAGGTGTTTGTACCAACCTCGACGCTCAGAATGATAAATCTTTTTTGGTGATTCATATTTCATATATATTCATATATATTCATTTATGAATAAGATTCACAAATATCCCAAACTTAAAATAAACATTTTTTCTAACATTCTTGAATATTTTCAAATGTCTCTCTCTACAATATCTGGTTTTTAGTATTGGTTTAGTGATATATGATATATGATATAAGAGTAAACTTCTTGGTACATTTGTATCAATCAATATTTTAGCACTTATGCCAAAAATAGTCACTACTTCTGTTTCCAAAGCAAAACTAGACATTGTCACAAAATAAATTTTAGTGTTGAGGGTGTGATTTTGTAGATGAAATTGTTCCCCTGGACCATATATGTCAGCAAACAACCCTCAGTGGAAATGCAGTGTTTATATGATTGATACATTATAGACGGAAGGGTCGATAGTATTGTGTAGTAAATTGAAAAATGTACAGTGTAAATAGCAGGGGGATGTGGTTGGCTTTTAAGAACATTTTTTACCACTTCTGGTTAAAAAAATGCTATATATTAGGGCAATGTTTTATTATGTGTAAAAAACCAAAAGTGCTGATTGGTTGAATGCTTTGCTATAGATATTGCAAACTGACCAGTCACATTAGTTCAAAATACATGAAGACTAATGTTAATTAGTTCAAATGATTAAACTTAATTATAGAATTATTAAAATTTTTTTTAATACACAAATTAATAACTAAAATACCCAATTTACCATTTTTACTTGTGTTGTTGTTATTGTTCCTTGCGAAGGCTGCGTCGACCTCGTCGCCTAAGTGGCGTGGACTGCTTTGTTGGCTACTGTAACTGCTAGTCGACGTCGCTGCTATGCCTGGCATTGTTGTTGTTGTGGCGTTTGTTGGATGCATGCCTACATCCGGTGATTGCGTACTATTTTTCTGATATGCTGCACTTGTAGGATTTGACATTTTTGTTACTTTTTGCTTGGAACTTCTATTTATTATATTTTACTTAACATTTATTTATAATATTTATTTGGAAAAATATGTTTTTTTTTATTATCGTTTTAGTGTCAAATTCGATTTTTGTTTTTTTTCTCTCTGAACACTACATTAACAGGTTTGTTTTTAATTGCGTTTTGTTTTGTTCACTATTTGTTTATATTTTCTCTACTTTATTGCTTTTCGTACGACGAACTTAAAAGTTTTACTATTTACTTTACGAAAAAAAAACTATTATTAAAAGCAATAACTACGCATTACCGCCATTGCTCGATCATTATTATTATTAATAAGTTTTTTTGTTAATTTAATTATTTTTCTTACTTATTTATTTTTCTATTTTTCCGTGTTTGCTTGTGCATGTGCACTACGTATGACGCAGACTGACACACTGACGAATAGTTGCGTTTTACTATTTCCAGGAACCACAAAAAAATAATTCCGTGAACAAATATTCAAAGTCTAACAACAATAACAACAGCAATAGCAGCAACAACAGCAAGAACAACAAGAACAACAACAATGATGACGATGACTGTGCCTATGCCTATGCCTATGACAAGCAGTGCTCAGCTCAACATATTAAAAGAACCCAAAAAGTAAACGAGAAAAAAACTCAAATTTGTAATTGACGAAAACAACAACAATACATTAGGCCTAACAACATATAACATCGCAGTAGCTGTGCTCAGCTAACAGCAGCAGCAGCGGCAACGGCAGTACGACACCATGACCGCGCTGCTTTGTATCGTAGAATTCGAAGTGTACTACTACGCAATAGTCAGCCAATACGTTTCGTACGCAGCTATTCTATTGCACACTTTTGCTCACGATCGCAACCCTAACCGCTGAACTAAGCGGAGACTGAATAAATTTAGACAACGGCGCAGCGACACGTTGTTGTGTTATGTGCGATTTGGTATTGTGTGAGTTTTTCTAGCCTAGTCGGAAGACATTATGTGTGTGCGCAAAAATGAGATAGATGTTGTGTTAGTCACAGGATAGTAATTATGAATTTGTATCCTTGTTGTTCAAGTGTTGCCTAACGTTTCGCTCGCAAATGAGGATATTATGAGAAAAGTGAATCTTGGTGGGAATAATAATAGGCTTCGTAGAGATATTTTTGAAAACAATCTATGAAAAAATAAATAATAATTTAAAAAAATAAACAATAATAATATAATTGTGTATGTTTATGCACAACATTAAATAATGTCTGTTAATTTCAACATGAAAATAAGAAATGAAAATGAAATAAAAATATTTTAAATTAAATTAAAAAGACCAATGATACTTTGTTTTCTTTTTAATTTTTTTATTTATTAAAAATATATACATATTTTTAAAATTCTTTTATTTATTAAAAATTTATAAAAACCATTTAAACCATTTAAAATAATTATTTATTTTATTATAAAAATCTTATAAAATGAATTTTACTTATTTTAAATAAATAAAAAAATAAAAAACAAAGTACAATTAACCTTTTTAATATTATTAAAGAAGTTAATTTCTCTCCACATATTTGGCTTTAAGAAAATTTCAATTAAAATAAATTATTATCAAAAATTAATAACTATTGTGGAACTTTCATATAATATTTTCATTTAGTTTTAATCATGCTTTACGTTATTTAATTTTTAAAAATTCAATAAAATTAAATAACGAAGTTCTTTACATTTATTAATTTTTGGTTGCATTAAAAACTTAATTCCGATTTCTCAATCGTTACCTAAATTTCAATTTTAACTTAAGTTATGCTTAAGTTATCAATTTTCGTGAATTAATTTATACCTAATTTCGTTTCGATGCTTAAGCTATGATTGTGAAATTAGGCATAAGTTCTTGATATAACCAAAAATTAGTAAATTTAAATGACGTAAAGCGCGATTTAAATTCTAATACAAAATCGTAATACAATATAAATAATAAATTTTAAAAATAGATAAATAAATAAAATACATAAAATAAATACTGGAATGATATAAATAGTAACAAATTTCAACAAAAAATATGTTTTTATATTACATATGACTTAAAAATAAATTTAATAAAAAATTAATAGTTTTTAAGTAATTATTATTGTCGATCTATAATTTAATATCACAACTTCATTTAAATCATATATTTGATTTTGACCAGATTCATTTAAATTAAATTACAAAATACTTTTCACAGATTATAGTAATCTGTATAATTAATTATTATTAACACCCTTTTATTTAATATTATAACTTATTAACTAATCATAACTTCTTAATACATAAGGAACGTTTTAAATTAAAGTTGTCTTTCATTGGCTAATCTAGATCTGCTCCTGCTCTGTAATGTTTTGCTCGAATTTTATGACTCAATCGATTATGTTTAGAATAATGTTTTATTATAATATCATAATTAAATTTTCAACATTTAGTTTGCAAATAAACACAATATTTCAAATATTTCAAATGTCAAATACATTTTATTTGTTAAATAATATAAAACAGCTATTAATTATAGGGTAATTTCAAGCTGTCAATATATCAATAGTGTTATAAATTAATCTCAGGTGTTATAAATTAATTTCAAGTGTTATACATTTTACCCGTTATTAACCCATTGAACATGAAAACTGTACTAAAAACAAATCTCGCGTAAAAAATTTCCTCTAAATTTGTTAATTTTACGCGACATAAATAATTATATAAAATGAATGAACAATTTTAAAAATTAATAAGATCAAATAAAATTATTAAGATTGCATATTAATTGATATATATAAATGTATTATTTAAAACCATTATGCGATTTTAATTTTTTCGAAATTAACTTTTATGTCTTAATATAAATATTATTTATGTAAATAATTTACATTATGTACAACATAACAAATATATTATATATTTTTAATGTTTTTAAATATGTGATATAGTATGTATATACAACTTATGTAAAATATAAATTGTATAAAACATGGCCTAGTAATCGATTTAAAAATCGCTCTCAATTTTTGTTTTTAACTAAAAACTTTAATTTGTAGCTGACGTCATAATTAACATAATTTAAATATGTACGTTAATATACATGGGCGCACCTAAAAATCAAATTAGTTTTTAAAAATAATTTTAATATGTTAATTTAATACACTTAAACTGAATCATCTTCATTTATTCCACAAATGGACTACACCTATATAAGTATGATTCATTTTAATCACGTTATTACGTTTATAGTCTAAACACAGCAATAATAATTTTAATGATGAAAATAAAATTAATTATAGTCTACGATGTTCCCTTTCAGTCTAACTCACGCGCGCCATTGCAATAGCTAAATTATTTAAATTTTTTTTGTCATTACCTCATTTGAAAACATTAATTTTTTTTTTTAGTTTTTTTTTTAGTTTTTTTTTTAGTACACAAATATATTAATAACACATTCTCTCATTCTCCTCATTTTCTAAACAAACTGCGTCGAAGTGGAATTTAAAAAATTTAAACAAGAAGCGGCGCTGTTGAGCAATCAAAAATTCCAAAAGCAGCGCAGAAACGAAAAGAAACTCAAAACAACAAAACACGAACCGAATTAGAAATAAAGAAACAACAACAACAACAACAACAACAATATTAAACATCAACAACAACAACAACAACGATAACAACAATAACAGCAGCAGCGCACATTTAAGAATCAAAGAAAGAAATTCTTTAAGATTAGGAAATTTTCATTGAAAGGGAAATAATAAAAAATAAAGATATGAGTAGCTAACAAATAACAAAAAATAATGAACAAAAAAAAAATTTAAAGAAATGAAAAGAAATAAAAACAATAAAAACGTCACCGAAAAATTAGAAAAATAATGAGGTCAAAGATATTTGAAGTGTAAATAGATACTTGACGCGGGGTGAAAGGTTTTTCATACTTAAAGAAAATATTCATATACGAGAATATTCATATCGTATATCGTACGTGGTACATTGGGGAATACTTATTTGAATATTTTAAGAATGTTATCAAAACAAAGTAAAACAAAACAGCTCAACAAAACACTAACAACACACACACACACACACACACACACACACATACGTACTCAAATGAAATTTTTGGAATTTATGCATTAACGCACAATGTAGCAATTAATTAGTGCGTCTTTTGCTGGGACGGAGCGCAGCATATCTGAGATGCAAATGCACATTGAATGCGCTGCGCTGCGCTGCATTGACTTCTTTGAATGAATTTCTTGTTTTTGTGTGCATTTCAAATTTAGATATTTGCTCTTTTCATGCATTTTTCACACGTTAACAGATAATTTAGGAAAACGGGATTTCTATTTATAATAAATAACATAGTTTACTGGTTAATGTGAGCTGTTCTGGTAACTAATAAAGTCTCCAATTGGGAGACAATTAGGCTTTGTGAAGCTAACATTATTTGTTGCAGTGTTAATGGGAAAAGTCTACCTCTACCTAATTATTAATAGTTGAAGTGAAACTGGATTTTAGATAGTGAGGGACTCTTAACGATATTATAAATAATCAGACCAGAAACCAATGAGATATGAAATTTTGTTCTGACACTGGTAATGGCACTGAATTATATAGAAAAATGTGATTTAATATACTGGTTAATGTGAGTTGTTCTGGTAACTAATAATGTCTCCAATTGGAAGAACGGCTTTGTGAAGCTAACATTATTAGTTACAGTGTTAATGGAAAAAGTCTACCTCCACCTAATTTTTAATAGTTGAAGTGAAACTGAATTTTAGATAGTGAGGGACTCTTAACGATATTATAAATAATCAGACCAGAAACCAATGAGATATGAAATTTTGTTCTGACACTGGTAATGGCACTGAATTATATAGAAAAATGTGATTTAATATACTGGTTAATGTGAGTTGTTCTGGTAACTAATAATGTCTCCAATTGGAAGAACGGCTTTGTGAAGCTAACATTATTAGTTACAGTGTTAATGGAAAAAGTCTACCTCCACCTAATTTTTAATAGTTGAAGTGAAACTGAA